AAACTTTGGACTCTTCCGCGCATCCGATCTCGAAGAGTGGTATGAGCGACGTGTTATCGAGCCCACTTTAGCATCTTTAGAAGAATTTCAAGAACGTGTTAGTGGATGGGCATTGTCACGAATATTCAACCTAACAGTCAATGTGAACAAATACAATCCGATGCGTGCGGGGTGCCACATTGAGTTACCACGCGAGATACAAATCAAGAAAGCGGTAATCAACGTTAATTTTGGTGACAATGCGTGTTTCGCGTAGGCAGTGGTTGCGGCTCTGTATCCAGTCGATAAAAACGCAAATCGTGCATCCATGTACCCACACTATACAACAGTGCTCAATTTACAGAACATTGAGTTTCCAATGTCTGTAAATCAAATATCAAACTTCGAGCGACAAAACAATATATCCATCAACGTGTACAGTGCCGAAAAAAAGAAAACAGAAAAAGGAAAAACAGCACATGTGATCCTTCCGATACGTCTCTCTGACCGCAAGATGGACAGACACGTCAACATGTTGTACTTGTCAGATCCGCGAGATGACAACGTTGGACACTTTGTATGGATAAAAAATTTGTCCCGACTTGTGAGCTCGGAACTAAGCAAACATGATCATAAGAAGTATATCTGCAACCAGTACGTACAAAAATTTGTATAAAAAATATTATAAATATCTTTTGAAATGAATATTAATTAAAATGTTTTTTTACAGATGCTTGCACTATTTTAGTTTGAGCAAAAGATTGCAGGTCCATACTATAGATTGTGAAATCAACTACTGCGCCATCCTGCTGCCTAGCGAGGACGACAAATGGCTCAGTTTTTGCAACCACAACAGGAAAGAGCGTCTACCGTTTGTCGTGTACGCCGATCTGGAGTGCATCTTACAGAAGACTGCGAGCGAGGAGGGAGAGGATCACAAATCGCACGCGTATCAGCATCATAGGGTATTCAGCATAGCGTATTATTTACATTGCTCGTATGACGAGTCATTATCGTATTTTCAAAGCCGTCGCGATAGTGATTGCGTCTTGTGGTTCGTCGAGCAACTCGAACAGTTAGCGCACCGCGTAAAATTAGTCTTATCAACAAATGTCCCCATGGAAACTTTATCAAACGAACAGTTGGAAACATTTAATAGCGCAACGCACTGTCACGTGTGCGAGAAAGAGATCGAGAAAGAGGATACACGCGTACGCGATCATTGCCATTTCACCGGACGGTATAGAGGTCCCGCGCATTCAAAGTGCAATTTAAATTATAAACATTCATATTACATTCCAATAGTTTTCCATAATTTATCCGGCTACTATTCACATTTTATTATCATGGAAATAGCAAATGCATTTGAAGGCTCGATCAATGTGCTGCCGATAACAAAAGAAAAATATATATCATTTACGAAGTATGTCTGAGATACAGCAAAAAAATCTGATTCACGAAATTGCATACAGTTACGATTCATCGATTTATACAAATTTCTAAATACCAGTCTCAAAAAATTACCATCTTTTCTCAGCAAAGAAAAATTAAAAATTTTACAGTTCACATTTTCAAATATATCCGATTTCGATTTATTGATGCGAAAGGGTGTTCTTCCATATGAATACCTTGATTGCGCAGACAAGTTGCAGGACCCGTGTTTACCACCGCGAGAATCGTTTTATAGTTCGTTGACGGGTAATACGGTATCAGAGAGCGATTACGCGCTGCGAACGTCTGGCAACGATTCTCTATTGAAACCTTGGGTGAATACAGCGATTTATATCTGAAGATTGATGTCTTATTATTAGCTGATATTTTTGAAAATTTCCGGGATAGTTGCATCAAAAGTTACGGATTAGATCCTGCACATTATTATACTTTACCGAGTTTCACTTGGGATGCTATGTTAAAACATACCGGCATAAATTTTGAATTGTTCACTGATATCGATATGGTCATGTTCATCGAACGTGGTATACGCGGCGGTCTCAGTCAATGTTCCAGTAGATACGCACAGGCCAATAACAAGTACATGAAGTCTTAGGATTCATCGAAACCATCGTCGTACTTGATGCACTTTGACGTAAACAATCTATACGGTTGGGCAATGTGTCAACCGCTGCCTCACGCTAAATTTCAATGGGTCACAGATGTTTCAACATTTGATATATCTTCAATCACTGTCGATTCACCCATAGGTTATATTCTCGCGGTCGATCTGGAATATCCGCAACATTTGCACCACGCTCACGCTGAACTACCGTTTTGTCCAACGCGCGCCAAACCACCCGGTAAAAGATAGGATAAGTTATTGGCAACCTTATACGATAAGCAGCGTTATGTTATTCATTATCGCAACCTGCAGCAGTGCACGCGTCACGGTCTTCGCATTACAAAAATACACCGTATACTCCAATTCGCTTAATCTTCGTGGCTCCGCGATTACATCGAACTAAATACACAGTTTAAAACACAAGCGACGAATAATTTCGAGAAAAATTTGTATAAATTGATGAACAATGTTGTATTTGGAAAAACAATGGAAAATGTACGCAATCATGTAGATGTGAAACTGTTGACAAAATGGGATGGACCGTACGGTGCTGAGGCAATGATCGCGAAACCAAATTTTCATAGCCGAAGCATTTTCACCGAAAACTTAATTGCCGTCGAATTACGAAAACTCGAAGTGAAATTCAACAAGCCGATCTATGTGGGTATGTGCATCCTCGACATATCAAAGGTTTGCTTGTATGAATTTCACCACGAGTACATGTCTCCTTCATATCGCGAAAAATGTAAAATTATGTACACCGACACTGACAGTCTAATTTACCACATAGAATGCGAAGACATTTATGAGCACATGAAACGCGACATTCATAAATTCGATATGAGTGATTATCTTGCTGACAACGCGTACGATATACCGCTTGTAAATAAGAAGTTTCCGGGCCTGATGAAAGATGAAAATAACGGAGCTATAGTGACAGAATTCGTCGGACTTAGAGCGAAGATGTACGCGCTGAGAGTAGACGGGAAAAAGGATACGAAAAAGGCCAAATGCGTCAAAAGTAGCGTCATAGCGCGAACGATAACCTTTGACGACTATACACAATGTTTGAGAGATGAAGTCGAAAAAAGTCGTCAACAATCGTATATAAGATCGAAATTACACAAAGTCTACACAGTGTCTGAAACAAAAATCGCTCTAAGTCCATACGATGACAAGCGGTATATCATACCTGACTCGATCGACACGTTTCCATGGGGACATTATAATATACCGCTATAGTTATTCACGCATTTTATATATGTAGCACTCATTTAAAATAATAAAGAAAATATTACTCATACACGTTTGTATAATAAGACATATATATTGTTTGTAATACAAAAGGTTATAGTAAAACTTTTTTTTACAACACATTATCCCTATTTATCCATAAATTATATGAATTGTCAAATCCTAACCATTTCACATAAA